ACAACAATATTATGAAAAACTAGTAAAGATAAAGTGAACATTTTGCATGACATTTACAGGTAATGTGCATGATAAACTACATTTTCTTTGTATGTTTCATGTAATGTTTGTATTCTTTAATTACATGTTGCAGAAAAAACAATCAGAGTCTGAAGGGGGATTTGAACCCAGGTCTATACCATGTGAAAGTCCAGTGACTTATCAATTGAGTGTATAGCTGCTTTTTGGAATATTACAAGTCAATATAGACCTTTATAATAATTATCATTTTGCAGAGTAAAAATATTTTTACAGCATGTATGTTCACTGTGTTATCAGTGGAATATGTTTTTTAAGGTTGTAATGTAGGTAGTGTGTGTGTGTGTGTGTGTGTGTGTGTGTGTGTGTGTGTGGTAGTGTGTGTGTGTGTGGTGTGTGTGTGTGTGTGTGTGTAGTGTGTGTGTGTGTGTGTGTGTGGTAGTGTGTGTGTGTGGTGTGTGTGTGTGTGTGTAGTGTGTGGTGTGTATGTGTGTGTGTGTGTGTGTGTGTGGTGGTAGTGTGTGTGTGTATGTGTGTAGGTGTGTGTGTGTGTGTGTGTGTGTGTGTGTGTGTGTGTGTGTGGTAGTGTGTGTGTGTGTGTGTGTGTGTGTGTGTGTGTGTGTGTGTGTGTGTGTGTGTGTGTGTGTGTAGTGTGTGTGTGTGTGTGTGTGTGTGTGTGTGTGTGGTGTGTGTGTGTAGTGTGTGTGTGTGTGTGTGTGTAGTGTGTGTGTGTGTGTGTGTGTGTGTGTGTGTGTGTAGTGTGTGTGTGTGTGTGTGTGTGTGTGTGTGGTGTGTGGTAGTGTTGTGTGTGTGTGTGTGTGTGTGTGGTGTGTGTGTGTGTGTGTGTGTGTGTGTGTGTGTGTGTGTGTGTGTGTGTTGTGTGTGTGTGTGTGTGTGTGTGTGTGTGTGTGTGTGGTAGTGTGTGTGTGTGTGTGTGTGTGTGTGTGTGTGTGTGTGTGTGTGTGTGTGTGTGTGTGTGTGTAGTGTGTGTGGTGTGTGTGTGTATGTGTGTGTGTATGTGTGTGTGTCTGTGTGTGTGTGTGTATGTGTGTGTGTGGTAGTGTGTGTGTGTGTGTGTGTGTGTGTGTGTGTGTGTAGTGTGTGTGTGTGTGTGTGTGTGTGTGTGTGTGTGTGTAGTGTGTGTGTGTGTGTGGTAGTGTGTGTGTGTGTGTGTGTGTGTGTGTGTGTAGTGTGTGTGTGTGTGTGTGTGTGTGTGTGTGGTAGTGTGTGTGTGTGTGTGTGTGTGTGTGGTTTAAGTGTTTGTATTGTAGTTCATGTATTTGTTGTGCAGCTCAGAGGCTCAGACACAGATTGTTTGTGAGACAGAGGTGCGCCTCGTTCTGTTTCACTGATTTTACATGATTCGACTTCCAGAGAGCGAGGGAAATCTCTCTCACCTCTTCTGTCTCTTCTCTTTCTTTGTCTCGCTCATCCCTCTCTCCTCCATCTCTATTTTCTCACCTCTATACCTGACGTACTCCCCTGCTTTTTCTCTCTACTCTTCTATCTACTCACTCCTTTTCTCAACGCTCCATGTTTCTCTCTTCTCTCACCCCTCCGCTCTCACTCTCTACCCTCTCTTTACCTCCATCTCTTCTCCCTCACTCCCCTTTCTTACACTCCTCTCTCGCCTATCATCTTATCCCTCTCGTCTCGCTCTCTCTCCCGTTTCTTACTTCCTCTTCTTTCCCTCATTCTCTCTTTTCTCTCCTCTCACTCACTGTTTCTCAACTCCTCTTCCTTCCCTCTGTCTTCCCTCCTTCTCTCTCTTTTCTCTACACTCTCTCTCCTGTTTCTCACTTCCTCTTCCTTCCCTTCTTCTTCTCTCCTTCTCTCCATTCTTTCTGGTTTCTCACCCCTTTCCTCCCCACTCTCTTCCCTCGCTCTTCTCTTTTCTCCCATCTCTTTCTCTCTCCATCTTCCTCTCCCCCTCTCTCTCCCTTCCTCTCTTTTCTCTCTCTCCTCCCTCTGTCCTCTTCTCTCGCTCCTTTTCCTCTCCTCTCCTGTTTCTCACCTCCTATTCCCTCTCCCCCCTTCTCTTCTCTCATCACCTCTTTCTCTCTCTTTCCTTGCTCCTCTTCTCTTTCTCCTCTCCTGTTTCTCATCTCTTAGTTCCTCTTTCCCATCTCTCCTCTTCTCCCCCATCTCCTCTCTTGTCTCTCTCCTCCCTCCTCTTGTCTCTCTCCTCCCTCCCATTCTTCTCTCATCTCCTCTCTCTTCCTCTTTCTCACCTCCTAATCCCTTTCTTTCCTGTCCCTCCTCTTCTCTTCCACCTCTTTCCCCTCTCTTGTTTCTCACCTTCTATTCCCTCTCTTCCCTCCCTCCTCTCTTCTCTCTGTCTCCTCCCCTCCTTCCTCTTCCCTCCTTCCTCCTCTCTCTTCTCCTCTTCCCCTCTCTCTCCTCCCCTCTCTCTCCTCCTTCCTCTTGTCTCTCTCCTCTCCCTCTCTCTCTCTCTCTCCTTCTCTCCTCCTCCCTCCTCCTCCTCTCCTCCTCCTCTCCTCCCTCCTCCTCTCTCTCTCTCTCCCTCTTCTCTCCTCCTCTCTTCTCTCTCTTCTCTCCTCCTCCTCTCTCTCCTCTCTCCTCTCTCTCTCTCTCCTCTCCTCCTCCCTCTCTCCTCTCCTCTTGTCTCTTCCCTCTCTCTCCTCTCCTCTTCTCTCCTCCTCCCTCTCTCTCTCCTCTTCTCTCCTCTTCCCTCTCTCCTCTCCTCTTCCCTCTCTCCTCTCCTCCTCCTCCTCCTCTCCTCCTCCTCTCTCCCTCTCTCCTCTCCTCTCTCTCCTCTTCTCTCCTCCTCCCTCTCTCTCTCCCTCTCCTCCCTCTCTCCTCTCTTCTCTCTCTCCTCTCCTCTCTCCTCCTCTCTCCTCTTCTCTCTCCTCTCCTCTCTCTCTCCTCTTCTCTCCTCCTCTTCTCTCTCTCCTCTCCTCCTCTCTCTCCTCTCCTCCTCTCCCTCTTCTCCTCTCCTCTCTCCTCTCCTCTCTCTCCTCTCCTCTCTCTCTCCTCTCCCTCTCTCCTCTCTCCTCTCTCTCCCTCTCTCTCCTCTCCTCTCTCCTCTCTCTCTCTCCTCTCTCCTCTCTCTCTCTCCTCTCCTCTCTCTCTCTCTCTCTCTCTCCTCTCTCTCCCTCCTCTCTCCTCTCCTCTCTCCTCTCGTCTCTCTCCCTCTCTCTCTCCTCTCGTCTCTCCTCCTCCCTCCCTCTCTCCTCCTCCCTCTCGTCTCCTCTCCTCCTCCCTCCCTCTCTCTCCTCCTCCCTCTCTCCTCCTCCCTCTCTCTCTCTCTCCTCTCCTCCTCTCTCGTGTGCCGTGCTCTGCGTCAGCTCAGTGGAGTGGAGTTTATGAGACAGGCTCAGTCATTGGAAACATTCACACAAACATCACAAACACAAACCCATGAGACTAAACCTGATGTGAGCTCATATAAAAGCTCTCAGGACCCTCCTCTTGTCAAATCCATTTCTTTAACACGTCCCTTTACTGCTCACACGAGGAGCGAGCACTTTAAATCGGGCTAACAACAACACCTGCTGCTACGTGGGAACGGCAGATACACGACAGTGAAGAGAAGTACAGACGTGCAGACATACAGAATATTATTAGTGAAGAAGTTTGCAAACTGCTTAAGTAAACACAGAAACACAAGTGGGGTAATGTCATAACATGAAAAGAATATACATGTTTTAATTTTAGAGTCAGAATAGCTCATATCATAAGTGTCTTCAGTATTTTATCACAGAGTTTGAATGAAATCTATTGACCTGTGAACAGTGTTGGGAAGGTGACTTTTAAAATGTAATCCCCTACAGATTACAGATTACATACACCCAACATGTAGTTTGTAACAGAATCCATTAAATTACTTAAAGTGAGTAATGTAATCTGAATACTTTGGATTACTTGATTTGCTGTAGAGAAGCAAAGACGAGGAAATCTTCACGTAAGATGTTTTATCTGCTAAAAGAAAATAAAAAGCCCAGACTTTACTGAACCAAATGAAAAATATTATTGATACAAGACGAGGAGACACGTCCACGCAGCAGGATTTAGTCCTGTTAAATCCTGTTTTAGACCTGGTTTAGACCTGGTTTAGATCTGGTTTAGACCTGGTTTTAGACCTGGTTTAGACCTGGTTTAGACCTGGTTTAGACCTGGTTTTAGATCTGTTTAGCCAGCAGATGGTTTTAGTGGAATTAGACCTGGAAAAAAAAAAAAGAAAAGAAAAGAAAAGAAAAGAAAAAAAAGGGATATGGCCTAAACTGTGAAAACAGGAAAATCCCTCTGTGTAATCCATTTATTTCAACAAAGTAACTGTAATCCAATTACCACTCACTGAAACAGTAACTGTAACTGAATACAGTTACTCATAATTTGTACTCTGATTACATAACTCCAGTACATGTAATCTGTTACTCCCCAGCACTGCCTGTGCATCCCCCCAGTCCTCTCTTCAGCCTGTAATCCCTCCGTTTTGTTTTAAAGACGGGTATTTTACTTCTATTTGGTATAAACTACACACATAACATATTTAGATCACCATGTTACTTTGTATTGTTCTGATATATTCTCAGAAAACAACACATTCATATGTTTTCTAAGTTCTATGAGTCTCCCCTCCCTTTTCTCCCTGCTCTAAGTCACCCCCCCTTCAGAGCACTATCACAACACAATCAGCGTGCATCCCTCTAATGAAACTACTGCACATCGCATCAGGTTTGTGGAGGTGTGGTGTACAGTTTTGTATCCTGCTTTGTATTTCTGTAGAATTGTTCTATGGGAGCATGAGTGGCGTAGGCTTGTGGGCGGAGCTTTGTACAGAATCATACTGCTAATCCACAGAGGGTTTGAATAAGGTCATTAAAATATTCAAACATGCATGGATGACATCTAAAACCTCTTCAGACATGTTTTTGATGCGGGAACAATGTTATAACCTGGTAGAAATCCACAATATCTCCTCTTTAAATGTGTTTCTCTATTGTTTCCTGTAGGTTTAC